CTCATCCTCCTCAGAATCAATCAACTTCCAGTCTCAGTTTCAAGAAACAGAACCCGAGCCAGAGAGCGCACACCTTAGCAAAAACACTAGTCCATCACGTGGCACCACACCCACTGATTTTTCTTCTCAATCTTCAAATGTAGAATCGAGAGCTGATGTTTCATCTAATTTGACTTCACCAGGATATACAGAGTCCCAGCCAGAACAAACACTGCTCTCCTCTGAACTAAATTATAGTACCTCCTTACCTGATGCTCGAATGTCATCTCCTTTAAATGAGTTAAGCGGAACGGTCTCCCTGCGTGATGTTTTGACCAGAGGCTGCACGCCAGATCTAGAAATAGAAAACTCTCCCCTTAGCTCTGAGTTGACCGAATATCCCAACACAACAGAAATTGAATTTAAAAGTACTGAGTTTGGCACTGCCATCCCAACAGCTTCCACAAGATACACACCCTCCTCCCCTGTTACAGCATTGAGCCCATATCCTGTGAATAGTGCTGTTGTGTCTGAATTAAAGCACACCTCGCTATCGCCTGACCTGCAGAGTGCACCGTCAGTACTTCACACAAGTGGGTCAAGAACCTCACCTGGACACTCAAGACCTAACTCTGCATCTTCTGAAATAATCACCGAGGCCTTTTTACCTGTGATTAGTTATAGTTTATCTCCATCACCTGGCATCAGAAGCACCTGTTCTTCCATTGAGAGCACACACACAGCTCCTTCACCTGAGATCAGGATCACAGCATCCTCACCCGAGGTCGAAAGGAGAGATTTCATCTCTGAAGAGCAAACAATATCAGAGTCTCCTCTTTTCGAGTGTGCCCCAACCAGGAGCATCCGTTCCTTGCCTCATATTACTGAGATATCTGATTCCATTGTACTACCCGAGGAGGGAGACACTCCACCGTTTCCCGAGCTCTGTCGTCTCCCAACTCCTGAGTCGGATATCACACGTGCATGTGCATCACCTGCGAGAAGGAGCCCCTCCCCTAGTAGAGCAAGGACACCACAAGACTCCTCTCCTGGATCAGGTTTCCCAGGCTCTGAGCTCCAGGCTGAAGTATCTCAGTGCAGGTCGCACACATCTTCACCTCAGTCAATGTGTTGCACTCCCTCACCTGAACTAACATACCAGAGCCTGAATTCTTCACCTGAGCTCAGAAATAGAGATCCATCACCTGCTACACCCTCTCCAGTAAACAGCTCTCATCAACTTTCACCTTTAGTCATCTGCTCTGAGTACAACACCCACTATTTACAGCCTACTCCAGCCTTGGAGACATCAGAGGGATTTCACTCCTCCTTTCCCAACCAAAACATAGAGTTGCAAACACAGAGCATTCAACCTAAATTTGAATTGGACAGAGAAGATAAAACATCTGAAACGGAAAGCAGTTCCCCAGTTGTGCCAATTCAGTCGCAAGTATCTAATCCACCTTGTTCAACTGAGGAGAAATTTGACCAGGCATCAATTCAACAACACCCAAGGGACAGACTTACACCAAAGGAAATACCTATTGCTGGTTTGGTGTCCTCGTCTGTGGAAAATCAAGGCGCTGGGTATATTAATCATTTTAATAGGCCGACTATTAAAAATAGGTCATTTCCACCCCAGTTTGAGTTTACTAATAAGGAAATTGTTCGCCATTTTCCTAACAAGGCAAAATCTCTGGAGAGAGAAGAAAAACGACTGAATCAACACACACACAATTCATTGAAGTCAAATTTTACATCTGATCATTCAAGACAAAAACTTGTTGAAAGAGCAAGGTTTGCACAGAACATGGCCCACCATATAAACAGAAGGAAAACTCCCTCTCCCCCATTAACCAGATTTACCCCTGTACACTTTATAGAACCTGAGAAACCACGCCGACATTGGCAGAACAGAGCCGCCCCTGACTTTGCAGCATCCTCACAGAGTGGTTATTTGAAGAAGACTGTGACAAATAGGGAAAGTCCCGATATTGTCCCTCCTGGTAATAATAGTCAGCCCCACGATGTCCGACTTGGGAAGCAATTGGAAGTGGAGAGGAAAGTTGAGCTGGGGGAGAAGAGAGAAAGGCAATGGGAAAGTGGGATGGAGAGAGAAACATACAGGGAGGGGTGGGAGATTGAAAAGGGGGAGGAGTGGCAAAGGGATGCCAGTTACAGAGGGGAACAGGTTGAGCTGTCATTCAATGACGAGAATAGAAAAGAGCCTGTAAGTCGCAGTACAGCCCCCACAAGCACAGAGAGCTCTCAGGGACTGCCAACACTGCATTCCTACTCAGAGAGTTTGCTTGCCACCAGACAGCCACAGGAACAGCATAATCGACTGAAACTTGCTTCTCAGCGAGACAAGAGAGGTGGTCTGACCAGGAGACTTCAGAATCCTGCACCACAGAACAAGTTCAGTCCTCGATCGGTCACAAACAGGCCTGCCCAGAGTTCGAGCTCTAGCATGGGAAGTGAATTGGATGAGACAGACAATGAGGTGAAGTGGCTCACAGATGTGGCTTTTCGTAGCCTGTCCAGCCCCGATGTAGATTACCTTGATGTGTACAACTCCAGTTACCGATCATCTGCCAACATCTCCCAGCCTTCTACTCAAGAGAGCCCAGCGGGGATCAGTGGTGCCTGGCCGACCTACGCTGATTTCAGGGGTTCCGCTTCAAAGCTGGACAGTGATGATCTTTCATTACAGCAGCAGTCCCTGTACCGGTCAGAAGGAATTGATCCGGTCCGCTGCTATGAGATGGGTAGCTTTGAGTGCATAGATGTGGCTGTGGAAAGAGAAGACACTCGGAAGGTCAGAAGAGGAGTGCCAAAGAGACAGATTCAGTTGAAGAGAAAGGAGAGCGCGGATGACAGTATTGAAAATTCTGCTGAGGGGATCGATGGGGAATATACTTCTGGACTTCCTGCGATTGACAACAGCCCCTCGGTTGAAAGACATTCCAGGGAGGCATTGTTGAGACAACACAGTTCACCAGCAGCAGACCAAGAATTCTACGCTCCCCAGCACAGCTCTGATCCTGAGCATAATGAAAGAAAATCCAAACTTAAAAAATCTATTTCTCTGGATGAAACATGCTCTAAGACAAAAATGGCCACTTGCCTAATCAAGAGTGTTTTGTCCAAGAAGATGCAAAGTGGTGATAAACAATCTGATGAGCCAGATGGAGATGAAGTGAACCCCACTTTTGGCGGAAATAACACTACTGAGGAGCCTCAGGAATGTGACAACTTCAATTCCTCTCTATCCTCTAACTACAATCGTTCCTGTGAAGTGTTTCCGATGAAAGAGGAACAAAGAGATGACATCAGACCAACCAAGAACTTTGTCAAGAAATCCAACAACAGGCCAAGCACAAACAGCAGCAATAGAATTTCTAACCTTTCGCCCACTGACAACCAACTGTGGGGTTCTCAACAGGGCAATACAACTGCAGCAGCATCTGAAATAAGATCCAAACTTAGAGTGCCATTGGATATCTCCCAGCCGAGAGGTGGAATACAACAGATAGATGACAGTATAACACAGCAAGGAAGAGAAGGAGGCAACTCTGCAAATGCCAGCGCTGGGAATACGCAAGTTCCTTCTGCTACTGGAGTCTTCGGCACACGAGCCAGGATGACAAGCCAATATCAAGCATGTGAAAACACAGAGGTCCATAAACAAGTGCAACAGGGTAACAAGAGTTGCCACATGACACAGGAAACTGAGGAGACTATATTTCAAGGGGGCAAGAAAAAGAAAGCCTCTCTCAATGTCTGCCTTACACCTGAGGCAGAAAAAAATCGAGACACATCTTCACCAGATGTGCATTTCAGACAGCAAGAAGAAAAGATCAAAGAGACCAATGTGGACCCCAAAACAAAGGAGGACGAAAGGAATGAGAACAATAAAGCGAAGGGCCTTATCCACAAAGTTAGAGACGTCAGGAAACTTGTAAAGAATACATATAATCTCTCCTTCAAAGCGACCAGTCGTGCATCGCCCTCGGATATTACTGACGAAAGGATCGAACATTTGAATGAGACAAAAAAGGATGGAATTAAGGAGGATTCAGAAGAAAAGCTCGAAGGACTTAAAGCAGAGTTATGTCAGGAGAGGACAAATAAATGCATGGTGGAGAGGCGAGAGGGAAAAAGAGAGGAGGGGAAAGATGAAAGCTTGTCTACGTTATGCTCACCTCTACCGAATGAAGGGAAGCCTCTATCTCAACTACACCAAATGCAAATACAATGCAAGGCAGTTTGCTGGAAAGATGACAAAACTAAAATACAAAGCCATGAAGACTCAGAGAACCAGAGTGGCCAAACATCGGGCTCTGCAAACAGAGAGCAAGAACATAACTTCTCTAAAACAGGCACACAGTGGGGGATACAGGAACCACCAGCTTGTGGAGCATCTCCCAAATTGTGGCAACGTGATTTTAATATGGATGCAGAATCACCGAAGGCAGAGAGTGATGACAAGCCTGTTCCAGTGAAAACAGACAGAAAACCTCCCATGCTCGGAAGTCACCCCAAACTTTACAGTAAAGAAAGAGGCGTGTCCACTGCCGTTGTGTTGATAAGAGATGGATCCAGCCAAGCAAAGACATGTGCGCCACTTACTCCGGAAGAGGTTCCCACCCTTCTCCAGGCCTCATCTTCACCTGAGATTGTAACCAATGGCAGCACCCCAAGCAGTAGCAGTCACTCAGTTTCTATGTTATTAAAGGAGAAAGGTTACCAAGCTGACATTGGAGCAGTGGTTGGTGATAGCCAGAATACAACGGTAGGGAAGGAGGTCCCGCATAAACATGTGAACTGCTTGGAGATTCCACTTCAGACGCCCACATATGATGGAGCTGAGTCACATCGAGAGAAGACATCCTCTGCTTCATCCTCTGTGCCGAGCCCTTTGTTGCTGTTGGACCATATAGACAAACCCGCAAATACCAGAGAGGACGAGGGGGGCCTCATCAAACAAAAAACAACCACCCCACAAGGAAATCTACTGGACCACTTTTCAACTCCCGACAAACAAAAGGAACATAAAGATTTTGAAGCAGTGAAAAGACAGGACCCAACTTTCCCCCCAAGGTCACCTGCAGTAAGACGATTCAGACCTCAGCCAATTGAGGTTAAGTCCCTTTCTAAAGAGACACCAAAGAAAGAGGCGACCAAAAATAGCCAGACAAATAGGCCGCAAACCATCGAAGTTAAATCGATTGCAAAAAATTCCAAAAAGCCAGCCGTACCTCCAAAACCAACTTGCAAATTCAAACCTTTGGATTTAGGAGCAAAGACTTGTGAAGCACCTGGATCAGCTATTACAAACGTAAAACCTCAGAATGAGGAGAGGCCTCAAACCATAGTAGTGTCATCGCCCACAATCTACAGAAAGATCCCCAGTGAGTCCTCCGCAACGTCCAACCAAACAAGAAAAGTAGCCGTCTCTGCTGTTTCCGGCTTTAAACCCCTACCAAGCAAAATAACAGCAACACTGTCAAGTGTCACAAACCAGGCTACATCATCATCAGACAAAGATGCTTCCAAAGGTCAGCTGCAGCATCAATGGACACCGCCTGTGAGATCCGCACATGTTCGAACTGTAACATCAGCTCCTTTGCCCGGTGTTATCCCAACTGAGGGTTCAAATTCTGATCCAGGAGCTAAACAAGTGACTGAACTATCATCTACAGGAGGCATACATACAAGCCCACCTGCTGTTGTGGAGCCAAACACAGATGGAGTGCCTGTGACAACATCTTCAAACAATTCCAAACCACCTGCTGTGTTCTGTACAACACAAGCCCCAAGAGACGCACCGCAGCAATACCGTGGGTCATTGTCCACCGAACGCACCCAAAGGGCCGTTGATCCACATTTTTATGCCTCAGATGACCCTCCAAGCTACGATGAAAGAGAAAGCTTCAGTCCCCTCATGCCAGATTTGACTCACCGGCGTTCAAATCGCTATCACAACCCCTCCAACCCTCCTCCTTGTTCCTGTACAGCTGGCTGCCCTCCTCAGCCAACTTTGCCCCCTCCGGCACCCCATCACCACCATCATCACCACAGCCCACACAACCTCACCCCAACAGCACCTCCAAACTCCCCAGGTCATGTGATACCATATCAAGCCCCCCAGCCTGTCGTCTGTCCCCACCAGTACAGAGCAGATCCTCAGCCCGTGAATTTCCACCCCAGCTCATCACCAAAGTCAAGTGCTTCCGGGCCAAGCCAGCCTCCCACCACGTACCCACCTCCTCACCAGCCTCCCCCATGTCCTCCCCACCCCTCGCTCATGCCGATGGACCGCCCCATGCCCACTGACCCCCGCCGGCTCGCTCCCCATCGATCCCTCCAGCAGCAGCCAGCAGGCATGCCTGGTGCTCCTTACAGTGATCCTGGGAACAGCCACTCCCCTGGCCTCGCTCCCATGGATCCGCAATACATGTGTGGGCAGTATGGTTCTGAGTATGGGGGTGACACCTCCAGTTTGTACTCAGAGAGCAGCTATGGGCCAACACCTCGAAGAGTCCTCTTGGATCCTGAAACGGGAAAGTATTTTTATATCGAGGTGCCTATGCAGCCCTTGAGGAAAATGTTGTTTGACCCAGAAACTGGCCAGTATGTGGAAGTTCTCATCCCCCAGCAAGGGATGTCTCACTCAGGCCTATATCCTCCATCAGCAGCCCCATACACATCTCTCCATAACCCTAATATGTACGGACCCAATTCACAGTACATGCCCTATGCTGCTCCCCCTCCCACCGCTCATCCCCAGCCTCAACACCAGCCACCTCGATATCCTGAGGCCTTATCTGCAGTGTCAGTTCACCCAAGTGCGCCCAGTGGCAGCTATAGGAATTGTTCTGGTCAGGGATCCAAACCAGATGCCTCAAGCCATCCACCATTGCACCAGAGCTACCTGGAGGGTATGTATTATCTTCCCACAGGGATGAATGCAGGCTCCAATCCCACCCCACCAGTCTACTACCATAAACATCCACCCAGCCTTCCCCCATCAGGGGGGAAAAGGTCCTGAAATAGCGGACATGGGCCGCCTTGCTGGAGCCTGTTAAGTTTTAAATACACACTGTATAAAGTAGAAGCCTAATGTTAGCTTGTAATGTTATTTGACTTTTCATGTTGTAATTGAAGACAGCAATTCAGTATGTTGTTTATCCACTGCTTCTTCTTGTCTTCAGAGCTGCTATATTAGAATAAGAAACAGTTTTTGAGATCATGCTTTTCAAATATTATTGCGGGAGAGGAGCTGATATATTATCCACAAACGTAATTTTGTTTTTTATACAAACGCTTTAAGTTATCTTGCCAAAGTTCTCAAGTGAAACATAATCGCTGTGTGTACTTTAACAACAAAATGTCTCCTAAAATACTGGAAAATGCTGTTGTAAAAGAACCTCAGTTGCTTTGTCATTGCATTTCCTTACAAACACAAGACTGAATTGTGTGCATGATGTCAACAATGACAATGCCAATAAAACATGCCACATACATGCGCTTCTCTTTTTCACTAATTCTACTTCACATCTCAGTGTCTATCCTAGCTGACTTGGGCTGGTTGGCATCCAATCGCAGAGCACATATAGATTAAAAAACATTCACGTTCACCCACTGTGGACAATATAGAGTCTTAAATTAACTTAACAGCGCATGTTTTTGGAACGTAGCAGGAGGCTACGATACACATTCACATGTATAGATAGATAGATAGATAGATAGATAGATAGATAGATAGATAGATAGATAGATAGATAGATAGATAGATAGATAGATAGATAGAAAAAGTGAGACCCATACATTACACAGTTCATTAACAAGGTAAATAATTGTCACATAGGCTAGAGTGCTTAATTTCTATACAGTATGAACAATAACTTTGAGTTTCCGTTAGCTTTAATCATCACAATTATTCTTAAATTGTCCTGAAATGTTTTACACTGACGTGAATCAATATGACACATTTAATCGCAATTTCATGTCATTAAAAACGTCACGCGTTTTACTTTTGTAATTGAACCATGAAAATAAAAAAATAAATAAATAAAATAAAAAAATCCGATTATTTGTTAATTGAAACTCCAACATTTAACGTAAATCGATGAACTTGTAGTTTGCGTGCTCTTGGAAATTATACTTCATCGTCAGCGGTGGCTTTGCATTACCGTCAGCGTCATTGAGGGACCACTAGAGGATGCCACAGACCAATAAAACTTGTTACGATAGCCCATCATGTTGAATCCTGTTTAAGGCATCAACTCTTTCGTGAGAAGCCTCAGTCACTGTTGCGCGCGCATTTATTACTCCCTGCTTGAAACATGACCGTGGTAACTGAAAGCAGACGCACAACTTGGGTCTCGACTTTGATGCGAGTGGCAGGAAAATGAACGACTCCAATACTGGAGTTGCGACAAAAAGTACTGGTCAGTTTTGGTTGACATGGAGGCATTAATCAAACAAAATGTAATTATTGCAGTTGTAGGTAGCAGTAGTTTATATCATCATTGAATTAGTTTTGTTTAGTACATTAGCGATTTCTCACAATAATTATAAAACAGATAAATATCAATTGGCCACACTTTATTATAAATATCTGCCAGTGTTCACATTTTGAAATAATGACTTTCATAATATTCCTGGAGTGTCTAATCACTGGTGAGCTATATTTGGAATAGCCCGCTACTTATGTAGTCCTTGAGGGCTCCCCAGTGCCCACGGGCGCCATGTTGGTGACCCCTGATATAGACCACTGGGTAGATATAGAGCAACGTGTAGAACTGCACTGTATCATAATGTGATTTTTATTAATTATTTTAAGAACAATATATGGAAATATTATGATTATCTATCATTATAATAATTATTATAAGAACTTTTTTATTCATACAATATAAATAAACTGTAATGACAGAGTTAAATAAAATGTTGAAACAAATGACAACTGCATGGAAACTATTGTGAACATAACACAGTGTTTGATTCATACCTGTGTGTCCATCAAAAGTGATCATTATTATCTTTGTCAAGATAGAATTTTGAAAAATGGCTCCTCGTTTTCACTTCTGTGTCTGTCTGCTGCTACATGATGCAAGGCTGACCCAACTTCTGAATATAATTGAAATCAAATGAGTTGTAAGTTATGTTTATGTTGCCTTTCCTGATAATATTACCTCACAAATAAACTTTGATCCAATCTGTCACGCTGCTGTCTAAGGTTCAGTGGAAGTGCAGGTCCTTGATCTTGTGCCAGTGGTGTCACCATTTTGATTACAGGAAACACACCTTATGAACACAGACTGTAACCTACGGCTGACACGCCTTGGTGCACAATCACTTCTACACACACACACACACACACACACACACACACACACACACACACACACACACACACACACACACACACACACACATCACACTCTTTTTAACAAGTAAATGTCAAAATACACATTCACGTGATATAACAGAGAACAGAAGCCATAGTTTCTTTCTCTGGAGACATGACATAATATCTGTCCTCACACACACACACACACACACACACACACACACACACACACACACACAAGCATCACCTTGAATTCTGCCATTCTGACCTTCATGAAAGCATTTACAGTACATTCTTGTACCGATTTGCATTGTAATATAAATGATGGAAATCAACATGTTCATCACTTCTTTATGCTGCGTTGTGACGACCAGGTTCCATTGTGTTTGCCCTCCGCCCAGTTCGGGGGGCCACCTGTATTTGGACCTGCTGGAAATTTTGTCAACAGGACGAATGGAAAAGTCGCCTGTCCACATTGTAGCTCTGCTATCAGGAATGTGAAAACGTGGAGGTGGCATGGGCCAGGCCGTAGGATAAGAAACCAGTTTTCAGAGATAATCTGACGTTTGTGTAGTAAGCTGTGTTTCCCCGTGTTTTTCAACAATCTCCTGCTTCTTTTGTGTGTGTAAAACCCCAACTGTTGATTACTGTATGGTTGACTCATAGTGATGTAAAGCAGCCTCTTGTCATTTGGTCTGTCTGTGATACGTTCTGTGATGTATCAGTCACAAAATGAATCCTTTCATTCCCTCGCAGCATTTAAACGCAAGGGTGCTGACTGACGACTGTTTGTTTGTTAGCAAGATTACACAAAACATATGTACTTACTTTCTGATACCAAAAAGTCAAAACTGTTTGTGCAGTTTTTTGTCAGTCACCGCTAATTTTTAAAGGTGTGTACAGTAACCCCCGCTCCATCGCGGGGGTTACTTTACAGACCACCTCCACACTGCCTTCGAAAACAGTCGCAATTGTTCGCCGCTCAGTCGGATAAAAGCTTAAAAAAAATCATCATCTCACGATATACATCAAAAATCAAGACCAAAGAGCTTTCTGTTGACATAAAAAGCAGGATTACAGAGGATTCAACGTTGAACAATTTTCAGCACAAACTTGATCATGAAATACTGTGAACCTACTTCCTGCTTTCAGTCTTATTTTAAATTTCTACAGTGTGAAACAACAGCAAGATCGCCATCTCATGCCTAGCAGTGGAATTACACCATAAATTAACTCAGCCCACAACAAAATAGGGGCTGGATCCAAATTCACAGGCTGGGTCCTCTGAAGCCTGCATTATTAGGCCTCCTGACGTCACTTCCAGCACGACTCGACCGCACGTGTTGTCCAACTTCACATTAAGCCATGGAGGCTACATGAGGAGGACCTGTTGAAGGCGTCGAAGTACCCAGCCTGCTAATTATCTTTGTAGAATTTGTAAACCACATGTGGTCGAGTCACGCCGGAAGGGACGTCAAGCGGCCAAATAATGTGGCCAAAAATGCACCCTTTGGAGTGCATTTTGGAGGATGCAGCCAATGAAGTGGGAAACAGCGTAAGTTATGACTGTACAAAAACAAAAATCCACTAAATAGCGGACCAAAAACCCAGAAACCGTGATGGAGCGTGGTTTACTGAGTTCCCGGTATTTAAATTTGAGTCACTGACAGTGTGGTGGCTTGTTCACCTGACTTTTGTGTGGGCAACCTGAGTTTAGCTATCACTCAGTAACACTGTGAATGAGTGTGAATGTTTGTTTGTCTTTCGGTCTGTCCTTTTAATTGACTTACAACCAATCTCGGGGGTCGTCCCAGTCAGTTGCTCCGCTGCACCCTCAAAAGAACAAAGAGAAAATGGATGGGTGGAAAATTGTTTGATTTTGTGAGGTCGTGAATGGTTCAACTAAAATGACACAAATTAAGATGTTGTTGTAAGTTATTAGTATTGTATTGTTCGGCATTTTGTTGAAATTCCCAATTCTCTTGATTGCATGGAGCATGGACAAAGTCAGCCCTCCAAGATCCCCCTTGACTCTCACCCTCCTTCACTGAAGTTAACAGTCCAACATTGGCGAAGGTCTGTGCTCTATTGAGTCACATTCTCAGTGATAATTTTACAGTTTGAGCCCTGCGAGTCCCAGGGACTCGCTGATCAGAAAAGTATGAGTCCCATTATGCATTTAGAGAGCCCCAAATTTCGAATTCTGAAATGGTCTACTTATTCAATTGCATATGATAATAACACAAACAACAACAACATACATTGATAATAGGTTTATTTCTTATAAACAAATGCTGCAAAAATTTTAATAATTCAGGCATACAAGATTATTATCGCAAAAAACTATCCAACTTTAGCTGCTTCCTCTGTGATATCGCCGCAATAAACTTGCGCAATACTTGTTCGGAACACTTGTTTTAACGTTACGCAGCTTGGCAATCGTCTGCTTTCCATGAGGTGAAGGCCGATCTCGCCAATCTCGTCTCGCAAGAACGGAAATCTCATCACGCGAGTTTACATAACGCGAGATCAAATTAACAATGGCGGCGATTGTCAAACTGCGATCGTTGCGGCGTTGTTTTTTTTTTTTTTTTTTTTACTGAGAAATTTCCTCGCGTCCCAAAAACGCACATAATTTGGAACTGTGTGTCTGGCGGGAAAATTATGCATCTAGGACGTGGGACGCAGAGGTAACGAGATGGCTGCATTCTATTTTTTTCACAGAAATGTCCCCAATGTAGACACAATTTTAAAGACTTAAGATTAAAAAAAAAAAAAAAAAGAATAATAGAATTGTCATAGTCCCAAACCTTTGTACACAGGACATGTGCATGAAATAGTGTCTACCTCTGACTCATCGTCTGAGTTGCCAACCATTAAAGGTAAATCACCTTTTACCAAAGATCATAAAAAGTAAGAGTCATGGTTGATGCTGCATCACTCAATGAATCAGAGAAGAGACAACACTTTCACAACAAAAATATAGCAAAACAAGCCAGAGTGAGGGTGACCCACCTAGAGGCGTGTGTTACCTGAATGCCCATAAAAGGCATTCACTTCCGCGTGGATACACACGCATGTGTCAGCGTATATCGTTGTGACAAGCGGTGAGTGAGTGAGGCAACAGCAGAGATAAGACAAAGGGGTGGTGCCTTGTGAA